ATTACATTTTAAATGAGAGTTTCTTAAAAATTCTATTTTTATCAGAATGAAGGCTTAACATTAACATGTTCTACATTTATTAAAAATACTAAAATATATGGTATAGTGTTATGTGTAATTTATGAATAGAAAGAAAAATATTTTTCCACTATAAATGTAGGTACCAGGAAATATTCTGACAATATTCACCTCATGCATTTCAAGTACAGTGAAGTCATAGACCTTATATGTTTTCTGGAAAGATACCAAGAAATGTGGAAAATATTTTCAATTTGAAAAAGGCTCTTTTATTTGAACAGAATCCAAACACTTCTTGTGAATGAAAACATTTGAATCTCTTATCAGCCCTAATTTTTTTTCTATCAGTCATTTTAAGCATTAGTAAATTGCATGTGAATTCCTGATGCTTCATGTCTTGAATGGAAATCTCTTGCAGATCCCAAATAAGAGTCGGTTATATAGTATCCCAAAGACAAAGACTAAAGTTTTTATATGATTTTGTAATTAGGTAAAAAAATAAGTTTGAGGCATGTTGCAGGTTTAAACTCATACATTTCAGTGACATGCATGTTTATATTTGCAATTGCAGATAATTCATCTTCAAAGGTTTCTGCAGCCTAGGAATAACTCTTGTAGCTTTCCTCTTGAATACCATCGGAGTTTCCTGTCAAAATTACAGCTATCTAAAAAGGCATCTTTGTGTACAACTAAGATCCAGGGATTTCATTCATCTGCTTGCAGCTGGAAGAAAAAAAGGCCTTCAGAATCTACATCTGATAAGCAGCATGCTCCACTGTTTGACTTGGCATCACTCAAGGACTCTCCGAAGCCTGCCATTTATGTAGCTGCTTCAGTATTATTTCCATTTGTTTCAGTGCCATTAGTAATGGCTATCCAAAAAGCCTCTTACCCTGAGTTGGCATTTGCTGAAATTGCATATGCTGCCTCTATATTGTCTTTCCTAGGAGGGATCAGGTGGGGATTTACTCTTGTAGAAGGAAGTCCTGCAAAACCTGACTGGCTTAATTTGGGTAACAGTATAGTTCCTTCCTTAATAGCCTGGATTACCTTGCTTTGTAAAGATCTCACTTCAGCTGGAATCATGGTTATCATAGGTTTAATGATAGCCCTGAATAATGACTTGGTCCTTCTTCCCACCTATCCCAACTGGTTTAAAGCCTTGTTAGTAATTTTAACTATAGTGGCTGCGTTTGCTACCTGCGTCACATTAATTTATGTGAATTTCTTTCCTGAACGATATCTAAGTTTTAAATTAGGGGAAACAGAAGATTCTAAGTAAACACACACAGAATGACGAGCCTTATGGGAGAAACAATACAGAATGGAAATAATATTCACAATGCATGAAATGAACTTGGAAAATTATTGGAACAGAAAACAATAAATGAATTATCTAATTCATTAAATTTACAACACTAGCCATAGAGAAGCAAATTAGAAAGGAGGGTAGGTGCTGAACACTGATAGATGATTTTTAGATTACTTGGTTTTAATTGTGTGGCTTTAGTGGAATTTAGTTTCTCTTAATTTTTTTAATCAGATTTGGTACAAATATAAACTAATTCACAGCATTATTCTTGGAAATTAATTCTGGGTAGGTCAGCATCATGGTTATGTGAAGCATGTAGACCAATGCTTCACTTTAAACCTGGCAGCACGTCCTCTTGAAGTCTCAGCGCAGCGGTTTTAATGGTTTTCCCGTTCTGTCTGAACATGTGTATACATGCATGCAATGAATACTTCTACTGGGATTGGTGTTTTATTACTAACAAATAGTAATGAAAGCAGTAAGATAGTTTTGAGGAATTTGGATAACAAACAATTGTTTCATTGATTTGAAAGAATAATTCTGGGCCAAAGATATTTGGGTAATATGTTCTAAATATTATCTCTACTATAGATCTACTGCTACCAACAGATAATATATCATATTTTACATTAAGCAGTTTTTAGAAGTTTTTAACTTCTTGTGCTAAATGTTGGATTGCTATTTGCTGAATTAACAAAAAAACCAGTATAAACAATTCCTTTTTTTATAAAAAATATTGTGAGAAAGATTTAAGATTACACTTGAGGTTTAAGAGAAACATCAATTTAACTCTTATGCTAGTCTGTCACTGTAATAAAGTATTCTTTCCCTTTCAAAATTTTCACTACAATTTTTTTTTACTTCGTTAGTTTTCTAGTGCTGAGTTTCCATAATGGCATAAGGTATAGTGGACACATTTGTTACATTTGGCTGGAAAATAACTAGAATTTCCATTGTACTGGACTTGTAATAGGGCAAATGTTATTTAAGATGGATAAATGTATCATGAAATTAAATTCTACTTTCTTATAATCAAGTAACAAGTTTTTGAAAAAAGTATTTTGTTAAGAAAAAAAATCAATCTATTTGTTTGTTTTGAGCAGAAGACTTCTGAAGTCTCAAGTTCTATTAAGAATCAGGCCAAATAGAGGCAAGGGTTAAATATAAAGCCTTTCCAATAATTTATTCTAAATTGTAGACCAAAGTTCATGATGGGTAGAAGGAGAGGAAGAATATATTATTAAAATTGGTTACAACCCACTATTATCTCCTGCATATATCCACATTCGCTGCAGTGTTAGGGCCAGAGTCAACCTTGTTTTCCATCAGTTGGCATAAATATTGATGTATATTTTGTGAACAGTATGGATTCTCTGCTGGTCTGAATGGCAGACAGTGTTTCAGTTAAAACCTCTCAGGTAGAGGCTTTGGAATGCATGTCTGGGAGATTCCCTCAGCTCCTGGCTCTTAAATACAGAAAAGGTATTGCACATTCAGAAGACAAAAGGAAAGATACAGAGCAAAGAATTTTGGCACCTGAGACAGAAAAACAATTGGACTGTACCATCTTCCCAACAACTCTGATACATGGCAGAATTAACACAAGCTGAAGGAGTGCCAAGATCACAAAGGCAGAGGACTTTGCTTCTGGATTCAGCGTATCTTTCTAAGGAATAGATATCTACTCTAGTTAGACATTGCGTTATTTTAATTTCTATTCGAAATTATATTCCTATTTCTATAAAGCATTTTGTGTAATTTTTGGCTAGAAATTATCTATTTTTCAGATATCTTTCTTTTGGGATAACTTGTTATAGCTGGCCAGCACCATCTTGTGGTCTGCTGAGAATGTTAACATGTTTTCTTAAAAATAGAACTTCCTGTATCTTTTGAGTTGTATTTCTCAAAATAAAGTTTTATTTTGCTTATCTCCTAGGAGGTTGATTTACCTCCCAAAGAACACACCATAAAGCTACTAAGCCAGGAGGTTAAAACATTCCCACCCTTTATTGTATAAATTGTGGGAGCAGGCCAGGATTAGAGAGGGTGCCAGGTGAAATGTGGGAAGATGTTCTGGCAGTAATAGTTTTTGATAAGCTAAAGGAGGGGTGTGTTGAGATCAGAATGTATAGACCCCAAATGTGTCAGGTTTGGAGACTCGTCTCTTGATGATTTCTACCTATAAGCCTTACCAAGTAGACCGGATAGGAAATACAACCAGTTAGCTAATTCTCCTTTATTATAAGGTTACAATTAATAGAACCTTGGAAGTCTGAAAGCACAATTCTCCTGTTTATACCCCCCAAAATTGGTGAGAGTCATTCTCTTGCCACACCAATTATAATTGTGGATTATGACCAATCTCCCAAGGTCATTCCCACATACTACATCACCTTTTCCCCTCCCAAATTCACAGGGAAAGTTATTTGTCAGCTGTGAGAATCAAATGTAGCTGTATCACTTGAGCTCTTCTGCTAGTAACTTTCCCAGATCACAGAAGGCAACTAATAAATTAGCTGTGTCTTAAAAGTTGAGAGCTGTTGCTTGAGAATCTGTTGCTCTCCCGTCCCCACTATGTTCTGTATGCCTAATGTGGAAGGAACTGCTCATTTTCCGTGCCCTTTACTTGGTTTCTTGCTATCCCTGAGGCACCCTCCATTCTCCAGAATTCTTCCTGTTCATTTTGGTCAACACCTAATTCCTGCAACATTTGTAACTGTTAAGCATAGTCTTTGTTAGGGTTTTGGTCATGAAAGCAGTGCACATCCATTGCTGCCTCCCATGACCTATCCAACTCTGGGTAAGTTTTCTGGTATATCAAGTATTCAACTTGCTTCCTTTGTGTCCAGAGTGTAGCAGTTTCCACCTCATGTTCTTCCTATTTACAGTGGGTGTATGGATGGTGCTGTCTATGAATGTGGAGTACAGGGGAGTGCCTCTTTTACTAGCAAAGGCCAATATACACGGTCAACTATCATTGATGATGGGAATTGTAAATGGAAACCCTCTAGGCTGATTTGCTTAGTTACTGGGAAAAGACCAATTTCGAGTTTAGTTGCTAGGAAGGTCTTGTGGAGCCACACCAAAACCTTTTGCAATTTTAGCTCCCTCTGTTGTTTTTTTTGTACACAATCTTTGCTACATCTAACTGTTTCTTTAAGAGACTTTGGGCTGCTTGACTCTGTGTAGGAAATCTGCTGCATGAGGAATAGCACTTTCTTGCCTGGTTGTTGGCAAGACCTATGGATGGAATCCCCAAATTGCTTGGGACAGGGACATAGCTATAAAGGAGTGTGTCTATGGAGATGCTCAGTCATCCAGGTCATGGTTGTCCCAAAGGTGCTTTTTCAAGAGGCAACTGGACTTTCTGATTTTTCTTTGAAGACGGTTCTTCTTTGAAGAAACTTCTTGGACGAGAAACAAAAGGTCTTCAAAGAAAAATCAAAAAGTCCAGTTGCCTCTTGAAAAAGCACCTCTGGAATAAAAGGAGTGTGCTACGTTTTAAGCAAATTCAGCAAGAGGTACTATATGAGACCAGTCCAATTGTCTTGCTGATATGAAATATATATATAGCATTTTAAATATGGCTGAAACAGTTGTTAATTGATCCTGTCCCCCTCTGAATTTTGACTGAGCTGCCATCTGTTGTGCTGCCACAAGTTGGGACAAACACTGCCCTAGCTATTGCATTAGTTTTATTAGTTTTTTTAGGTCATTTGTTCATCCACTTGTTGCTTGTCTTGCAACCACGTTGTTGCCAGATAATCATACCCTGAGAAATGTGGGTCTCTTCTGAGCCTCTTGCCCCTCCCCTCACTATCCAGCTGCAGACTATGCCTGCTCTAATCTGTTTCTTAGGTAACATCTCTGGGCCAAATCTCTCAAGGTCATTCCCGTAAGCCATTACACCAGCAGAGTTGGGATAGGAATGGTGCAACCATCCTGACTTTCCTTGATCTATAGTTTTCAATAATATCAATTACGGCATCCATTTGGAACAACTGAGGTTTGGGAGCATGATTTTGTGATGGCTCTCCACATTCCTGCATAGCTAATTTCAGTTGGTGGGCTTGGAGAAATGAAATCCGAAATCCCTGATCTGTAGAGTGTAGAGGACTTAGTGGTCTCATCCCTCTTATTTAACATCTACATGAGGCCACCAGGTATAAGGTCATCTGTTGACACAGGGCCAAGTATTATCAGTATACTGATAATAATCAGTATACTGATGATAATAGTTACATATCTTAACCTAGTTGACCAAGGGATGTCAGGTCTTATCCCAGTCTCTGGAGTCTGTGCGGATATGGATGGAAAGCAAGACTTAAGCTCAGTTAGATCCCAATAAGACCAAATGGCTGTGGATATATGTACCTTATGGAACCAGTGACTTTCCATGGGGATTGCATTTCCCCAGACAGAATTACTCAAAAATTAAATAGCAGCTGTAGCCAGAAAGACCCTCACAGATTCATTTTCAGCACCTACTGCACCTGGAAGCTGTTCTGAGTCACTCATATCTTGGTTTCCCATGTATGGGCCATTGCAATGTGCTTTATATGGGCTGTCCCTGAAGACCACTTAGAAAGCCCAGCTGGTCCGGACTTGCAGGCAAAAGCACTTATGGGCTTATAATACATAAGATGCTTTTTTTTTTTAAAGAACTGCACTTGTTACCAGGAGGCTTTGGGGTGCAATTCAAGATCTTGGTTACCATTTACAAAACACCAAATGACATAAGGCCTACTTGTTTGAGGGGCTGACTCTTTTCCATTATTTCTGCACATTCAGCAAGTTTAAATAGGTATGTTTCAAATCTCAATCATTACACAACCCAGGATGCTTGGATTCTTGGTCCTTGTCCTTTGGAACCGTCTCAAACCTCTTCTTTTAATGAAGACCTTGTTCTTTTCCCTCACATTGTGCTAGACCAGAAAATGAGTTCCCTGAGTGAGAGGTTTCACTATTCTTGGCTGGGATGGCCACTTCTTTTTTTTCCTTCCTTCCTTCCTTCCTTCCTTCCTTCCTTCCTTCCTTCCTTCTCTCTTTCTGTCATCTGATGTACAAATAAATCTTGGTTCGGCAACTTAAGAAATGCAAATAAATGTTACTGTAAGCTGCGAAATCTTATGGGAAGAATTAATTTAACAAGTGAATTAGATCACTGAGTCAAATTAGCCAATCCCATATTGCCCCAAAATGACAGGCCTTTAACAAGTCTAAAAGAAATAACGGATTTTCAAAAAATTATAATATCTATTAAATATTGAAATGGATTTGTCAATTTTAACTTTCTCTGCTTCAAACAAGGCTTCTAACATTACCACAGAAACTTTCCAAATGTCAACGGCAAATGTTAAAAATCTGTAAGTTTCTTATTGTCAGAATTGTTTACAAACTGTTCCACAGACAAGCATAAAGATTTAAATGGTTTCAGTAACAACTGTTGTAAACTTCTGGATATGCTTTAAAAATCAATTCCTCTTCTAACTGCACACACTTTCTTAAGAGCTGAAATCTTCCATTTCTCTACAGCATTTAAATTCACACTTCAATTTTTGCTGTTTTTTTTTTAAAGCATGGCATTCTTCAAAGGACTGCCACACCTCCTTCACAGCGGCTGGTGATCATGTTAGCAGTTTCAGTCCAAGTATCCATATGTGGATTATACACTTCCACAGTATCTGAAGTTACAGGAGCAGCTGCCTCATAGTTGGCAGTCCTGCCTCCTGTGGCATAAAGGAAGCCATTCACAGCTACGACACATACTCCAG